TCTTGAGAAGAGCATGGAATGGAAACCTCAAACCGATCAAGAAGGGAGAAAATTAGCCTATCCGCATCAGGAGGATCAAGTGGGGGGAAATTTAAAGATATGGCATTCAAGAACACCTTGCATATCCTGATATCTCCAGTTACATTGCCTATTGCAGATATCACAATTTCAGCCGTGAAACCTGAGATATATGTGGCAAATTCCGGGCATATATCTGAAGCTTTTGAGACATATCCCAGAAAATCGTGAAAGAATAATGCGATAGAGTCGATCCCAAACGACTGAGGCCAAAACGATGGGTCGAAAGAAGAACAAATAGAGCGATAAAAGGCAATAATGAGTGATCTGGGCAATTTGTCAACGACGTTGGAGCACCTTGAGAGGAATCGAGCCACCGCGAGGACCGCATTCAGCTGTGACCTCGAAACCCGAGGAGACCCCGCAAGCATTACCTCCGCCGGTGGACATCGGCCACACATCCACATCAGTTTCTCTTGGAATTGAGTCGGGTTGTCAGCGATCAAATCGCACAGCTGAATTAAGGACTCCATTTCAAACTTCGATCTACCTCCAGCTAACTAAAACTTCCAATTTTGTAATAATACGCCGAACCCCGGCAAACGATCAGCTAATCAAAGTCATTTCACGTATAAAAAATCCTCAAAATGCAGGCGCGCACAGCTTGCAGCGAAAAAATCAAACGCGAAATCCAATAAAGTTTCGGGTGCAGATGTCCCTGGGATAAAGATGCGAACCAGGAAGTCAAATTGGGGCGAAAAAGCGGTGGTGGACCGGACGTGAGGTTCAATGCGGCCTGCTGCCCTGCTGGTTAAGTCGCTGTTCGTCGGTCCGGGGAGTTAATGGCACATCACATCCCTCGCTGACGGCTGTTTCTTTTAGGTAATCGTTCAAGTACGCAGGTTCTGTTGCATGTCACCATGTTAATTGCATAAAAATTACCAACTTTGTATCAAATTGCAGCTTTCCTTAGAACTAATTAATGTCTTCGGACCTAGAATTGGAAAACCGAGTCCAACCGAACCAAACTTTCCTTTAATTCAATTCTTAACTTTGAGACAAGCTATCTTGCGATTCCATTCCTAAAAGAGGTTTGGTTCGGGTACTGAAAAAGTTTAGGTGCTTACAACTGAAGTTCATACTAGTATATGTTTCCATCTTTTGTATTTGAATGGTGGACTAGCCCAGTAATCCACATCGAATAACTAGAATAGTAGATTTAATGCATTTAGCTTTTTAACCTAATTTTGAAAGATTAGTCCTCATCCGCCTACTTTTTTTTGCAAAAGATAACTTAATTATTAATAAAACTGAGAACCAGATACAAGTTCGTCATATCAAAGGTTACACTGAGGTGAGACCCAGAGCTGGAATCGCGCTTACTAGCGGACCATCTTGGTAACCCCGCAAATTGGTAGACTCCATACACAGCAATGTTACACCTGCTACTAAGAGGGAAATTAAAAGGTACAACAGAGTTCTATAAAGATAAAAAATCGGGAAAAGTGTCAAATAGGCCCCCCTACTCATACGAAAAAGTCAATTAAGCCCCCGAACTCAAAAAACATCCAATTAAGTCCACGAACTAAATATAACGAGGCAAAACAGTCCTTTTAGCAGGATATTAACTGTTCCCAGTTAAGTTGCATGTGTGGCAAATGATGTGACATGCTTTTACATTTTCTTTTTCTCTTTTTCTCTTTCTTTCCTTATTTCCTTATCTCTTTTAAACCGCTTAATTACCTGCTAAAAGGACTGTTTTGCCTCGTTTTTTATAGTTCGTGGGCTTAATTGAGTGTTTTTTGAGTTCAGGGGCTTAATTGACTTTTCTGTATTAGTAGGGGGGCCTATTTGACAGTTTTCCCTAAAAAATCAAAAGAGGAACATAATCCAGTTTTTCCATCCATTGGCAAGGGCATAGCAGTTTGACCAGCCTCCGCTAAAGGAACTTCATTCTTGTCCATGCGTTCTACTGGCGGTGCTGCCCGGGCAGCACCGCCACTTCCAAGTTTTTTGGAGTTCCTTCATCCACATCCATGCAAGCCTATGCCCCCCCCCCCCCCCCCCCCCGATATCCTTCGTGGTGGCCCTACGCTTTCTTGGTACTTCTTGGATTGTAACAATCTCCTTCCCCTTTGACAGCAGTCCTTCCACCATATAGCTTTCATGTTCCTTCATCACATCATCAGACTCTGCTTTTTCTTCTCGTCTACGTGTTACCCGGGTGCGATCCTCCCCGCCTCATATCTTCCCGTAGCCATGGCCCATACGGCTTCTCCCCGATCCCTATACCGCTATGCAGATTAGTTGGACAAAAGCGGTTGGCATGACCAAGTATCCCGCGCAGAAAACAAAAATTTGGGAGTCTTTCATACTAAAAATTTGCCCAGATCCGGCTATCTCCCTCCTGTAGGCGTCTAGTCAGAGCCATTGTAATATTCAGAGTGACTCTAATACGAAGTACCAACCTTTGCTTACCACCAAGAGAGCTCTCATCCACTTGCACAAGCGAACTGATGTTATTATCAATTCCACGAGTCGTCCTTGCCGTCATGTAGCTTACGGATAGATTGTGAATCTAAACCCAAAAATCTGCATGATCCAATGAGACCTCCAGAGGTTTATTAGTACGCCCCAAACGTTTAACAACTACTCCCTCCGTCCCGCTAACATTGTCCCATTTTACCTTTTCGGGAAGTCCCACTAAGATTGTCCCATACCAAATTTGGTAAAGATTGTGTTGCTCTAAATCATTTTTACTTTATTCTTACTTTATCAATTTAATATCAACCACACGAACCCAATTTCCTTAATAATCGTGCCACCTTTTTCCGTCCCAATCTTAGTGGGACGGAGGTAGTACAAGATTCTGCTCAAAGGACCAAGGCCTTTCATCAACAACTCTGTTTAGGTCTCCCTCATGGTAAAACTGTAATAGGAACTTCGAGTCCTCAACTTCATCGATAGAGACTCCTTTGACTGGTCGCCAAACCATAGTCATTGTTTGGCAAAAGGAAACGGCACAAACAGATTTATCAAAAACCACTCTAGCCACAGCTGCTAGATTGAAGCCCTCTGTAGTCCCGTGCACGTTCTCTTCTGGGTCACCCGCTAGCACCAAATCCATATTCTCTTTCTCAGCAATTGAGAGCATACTAACATTTTTCAAAATCAATTCCATCGTTGCACAAACAAATCGCTAAACTCAAAGCAAATAAAAGCACTGAAACTATGAAAACTAATTCAAAAGAGTGCACTATAATTCACAGAAGAAGAAAAGGCTCCAACCATTTAGAGAACAGGAACCAGCGAACAAATTCTTGGCCAAATTGAGCCAGAAGCAAGACACGGGACCAAAATGCCCGGAGGAGAAGACAAACGATCAAAAAAATGAAGAAAAACACAAAGTCTCAAAACATGGCCGCGGAAGAAGTTTAATGTTAAGGCTTCCTAATATCGTCGAACTCCTTCATCGATCTGAGACTGCCTTGGGAGATCACCCTTCGATCCATCTCGCCGTCGGAACCATCGCGGCGCTAGGTTATTTCGGCGCTCCACTTCTACGTAATTCCAGTGCTCTCGTCCGCCTACTCTTATTACTCGCTTTCTCCCTTTTATGTACTCTACTTGAGCTATTGAACTACATTTATCTTCAATTGAAAATTACTAGCATTTATCTTCAACACCATAAACACTTTCAGGTGCTCCGTAATTTCTATGTTATGCTTCTATTTTATGGTGGTCTGATGGTCTCATTTAGTTCTTATACTGTAGACATTTATCATATACAATATGTTAAATATAAAAAAATCAATTAGTATGGTTAGTTTCCCCATAATAACTCCTAAAGAGATGAAGGCATTTATTTACTTTGGGATGTTGGTTTCATCACTCTTTAACTAGTTCTTGTATAGAGCATTGGGTATTTACACATTTGAATTATCTTTTATTTTTGGGAAAATAACTTTAAATTATATCAACTATCTTTCATGAACCAAGAATAATATGTACTTGAAAAATGATTTTTAATAATACCAACTATATAAATGTAGAACAAAAATAATATGCAGTATTGAGTCACTCTTCTACTAGAGATTTGGTCTTTTAAGTCATCAAAAACTAATTAATACTACATCATCAAATAAATTATTTTTGAAAATATGATCACTTATTTAATACTTTTATATTAGTTTTTGATGAGTTAATGACTGAATTTTAAGTGGAAATTTGCTATATATCGCTTTTGATATATATTCAAATAGTTGGTATTATTAAAAGTTATTTGTAAAGTACGTATTATTCTTGGTTCATGGAAAATAGTTGATATTATTTAAAGTAATTTCCCCTTATTCTTTTAGAAATCAAAATTGATGCATTTTTATTATCGAAAATATTATTGTGTTTGAACTATTAGTTCAACTTTTTATGATAAACGGCTTATATTAAAATATCATGTCATACCAATATTAAATCACATACTGGCCACTTTTTTCATTTGTCCAAAAAGAAGAAGAAAATTCAACATCAAACAAATTTTAGAATTTATATCCTTAAATATGCATTAAAGTTTAGACGTAATCCAAAATATCCATGTAACATGCCTACTTTTCAAAGTAGATATTCATTAACATGAGTTACAGATTCACAAAATATTTTACTTTGTAAAGAGGAATAGATTAATTATATTTTAATTTTAATTATAATGCGTTGATAGTTGATACCTACTTAATATTAAACTAATTAAAGATAAGACATTATTCGACGGGCTTGTTACAATCACTTTCAATTCCCAACAATTACAGTGTGGGAGTTCCATCAAATGTGGTGGCTCCTTGTGCGCACCAGGTCCTGAACCACCTCACTCAGAAACTATTTGAGATTATACTTTGATTTATTCCTCCACCATTCTGTCGATAGGTGTGTGGGAACGTCTAGGGTGGGATTCCACCCTTGTAGGTTAAGGTGGCAATGGATTTCATGGTGGGACTACCATGCACAGTGAAGAACCGCGATGTTGTTTGGGTGGTGGTTGATAGGCTCACAAAGAGTGCACACTTTATACCTATCAACACAGCATATTCACATGAGAGGTTAGTAAAATTCATTCTATGTGGACGGTATTGTGAGATTACATGAGGGTTTTATGAACATTGTATCATATATAGATCCACGATTCGCATCACGGTTCTGACCGAAGTTCCAGAGTCTATGGGAACCAAGTTGAAGCTTAACATTGCTTTCCATTCACATACTAGTGGGTAGTTTGAACATGTTGGGGGATTGTGCACTGGAATTCCAAGGCAGTTGGAACCGGTACTTAGGACTTGTGAAGTTTGCCTATGATATCAGTTACGAAACAAGTATTCACATGCCTCCATATGAGTTAAATAAATTTTGTGAAGACAATGACATTCGTTGTCCCATGACTGTCTCGCGCACACCACAACAAAATGGTTTAGTCAAAAGAAATGAGATTGTCCTCAATAGCTTGAGACATGCTGCAGACGAAGATTATGCCAAAAGAATTTTGAGCAAAAGTTGTGGATTGTGCCATCTACCTTCAAAATTGCCCCACGAAGAATCTGAATGGGGGGATTACTCCACAAGAAGTTTGACATGGAGGTAAACCTGGAGTCTCACACTTGAGAGTATTTGGATGTATTGCATATGCTCATGTACCCGATCAAAATTTGACAATAAGGGCGAGGCATTTATGTTCATTGGATGTGATAATCATTCAAAAGGCTACATGTGACACCGCACGCGGATGTACTTGAATTTGAAACTCAGTATGTATTGAATTTTCTTAGTGAACATTGATATGCACTAATTAGTAGTGCATAAGTGTATGTTTTTATGTTTGATTTGCGTGGATTGTTTACCATTTTATTTAGTTTGTAAAAATTTGTGTGATTTTAGTTGTAATTGTATTTTAATCTTCATTTATAAGTTGTAAAGTAGAATTAGGAATTATGGTGTTGAAATGGAGGACTTTGAAGTGAAGAAAAAGGAGATTGGACTGTCCAGGAGCTGAAACCCGACCGGGCATAACACTTGACCCGGTCGGGTAAGATTTAACAGACGAAGGTGGCTGGAAATTACACAGACCTGGTCGGGTCCCCTATGCCACCCGGTCGGGTCAGACTTGACCCGGAACACCAGAATGTGCCGAAGATCACCAGGACGTGGAGGATATCTGATTTTGACCGGACCCGGTCGGGTAGGTACCTAACCCGGTCGGGTACCCGGCCCAAGGTGTTGAAAAACACCGATAAATGGCACACTTTTCCTTCACTCTTAATCATTCCTTCTTCCATACTCTTAAGCTCAGTTTAGAATAGTATTTCTTTTATATTTTTATAGAATGTTTAGTCTCCAAATGATGAGCTAAACTTCCATTTCTTGGTGTTGCTCTTGAAGCTTGTTGATTATTAAAGTTGTGAGTTATTTTCTTAACTTCTTCCCTTGAATATTAATTCTTCCCTTAATCTATCTGTATATTAATGTTGGGGAGTGTTACTAAGATGACAATTAGTTAACATCTCAACATTAGTTATAGTAGTATTTATTTTCTTCCTCTATATATTAATGTTGGGGAGTGTTGCTAAGATGACAATTAGTTAACATCTTGACATTAGTTATAGTAGGATTTATTATCTTTAATTTTCTTCCTTGAATATTAATTAATTCATATTCATATTTCATATTAATATTTTGAACATTACTTAAAGGATCAACTAGTTTTGTTTCATATATTAATTATTACTAGAATCGATCGACGAATACGCTTGTTATTCGTTGATGGTTTCACAAGTAAGTAACTTCGGTTTATTAATACACGGTTGTGATTAATAAACTTAAGAGGGATTAATTTTGTTGGTTAAACCGAAACCGTTGTGTTGAGGTTATCAATCTCAATTGATTTCATCAAGGAGTTAAGAGATTAAATGCTACTATCAAATCGGTATATGGCGGTATTTAATACTTGACTAATATTAATGGTTATTAATGAACAGTCGTTGTTAATAACTACCCTCGATGAATTGGATATACTCCTCGATTGAGTATTCGAGGGGGGATAAGTTATAGATATAACAATGATCGACTAAAATATATCAACAAGTGGAAAGTAGCAATGTCAAGTCCTTTTTATTCTTGGATTAAATCACATATAAGTTGTTCATTTTAGTGTTTAATTAAATTAAATCATTCAACCATAACCCCCCCCTTTATTTACTAGTTTCATAAAAAGAGAATTATTCCTTTCCATGTGGATACGAACTCTACTTCACTATACTACATATTAGTGCTAGTATTGAATTTATTTTGACGCACCGTGACAATGTGCTCGTCAAACATCTTTGTGTAAAAGAATGTTATATTTAATTAATGAATGATTAATTAAATTATTTATCGGGTCCATAATATTGAGAATGAACTACTAAATAATTAGTTGAGTCATCATAATAATTATAGAAGCTCAAATAAAATGTCAACTAAAGTTGATAAAAATGTTTGGACAATCTGAGTGTTATTTTGACTCAACCTGCCAAAAATAGCGAGAATAATTGGGGAGGGGGGACTTTCTATACCCATTTGGGGTATTCTACCAGTCAAATAACTCCCAAATAATTGGGAGTGGGGCATGAAGAAGTGGAGTGTTGCGGATGAAGGGAAAGGGGGAGTCTCATTGAGACAACACACCCATGCTCCAAGACCTTACCTCTTTTGTTGTATTGGTTGACTTAGAAGAGTAAGATGTTCTCCTATCATTACACTCATTCTACACCATCCGCACATCCAAGAGAAGGGAGAGCTCAGGGAGAAACTCTCACAAAGCTCAAAGCTTGAAGAAGCAAGAAGTTAGAAAACTCCAACAAAAATAGTTTGGGTTCAAGGTAAGAACTCTACTATTGATTCTTTTAACTAGTGTTTAGTGTATGATTTTTAAAAAATCATATGGTGGATTAAACATGAGTTTCTACCCGTTTAAAAGTGTAGAATATTGTCATAAAGTAGTGATATTTAACTTAGAAGAGTTGTGGAATCGATAGGAGTCAAAACCGCCGGAAACCGCCACTCAAAAGGAGCTATTCACAGTAGCAGACCACGAACAGCGCCCGACTTTTGCCAAAGCCGGCCGGCTTTTGCTCTTTGTCCAGAAAAGTCGCTTCTCATCGGTTTAGAACGGGGATTGATCGAAGGACTTAACAAAGGCAACTATTCTAGCACTTCATAAGGTGAGGATGACTGACTATATTGCTTATAATTGTTGGTTAATTTCATAAGATTATCTAAGGAAGTTAAATGTGATTTTTATGGATTATTAATGATTAATAATGCCTAAATGAAAATATTATTGTATATAAGTAGAAGGTGCATGATATACAAATTTATGAAAAAATTGTGTATGATTGTGTGTTATGATGAATGTGATGGCATGATGGTTGTATCAACCATGAATTATTGTGATAAAATATACTTTTACTTCATGTATAGAATTAATGAATGGATAAAAGTGATATTTTCGATATTGAGATTAAATTATATTTGGATTGTAAAATCAATTGAAATGAAGTACATGACTATGAAATGAGAAACGTGGTTGTTCTAGTGTTAAGCGACTAGTATTGAAATACTAGTCGGTATGATAATTCTAATAAATGATTTAATTAATCCTAAGATATTGGATTGTGAGTAGTCGTGCCTTAAGTAGTCTTAAGAGATACTTCAGGGGGGAATTGTATGAGCTCTAAGTTACATTAGGATTATGCCTTAAAGGCTACTCTTAATTCTAGGCTAAGGAATTGCTTAGAGATTGAATAACGTGACTAAGAGCGAGGCTCTAGCATGTCGTAACGGTGACTAAGAGCAAGGCTCTAGCCCGACATGGAATGACTAAGAGCAAGGCTCTACCACAATGTAGTATGACTATGAGCAAGACTCTAGCTTAATGAGTATGACTAGGAGCAAGGCTCTAGCATAAAGTAGGGGTGGGCATAAAACCCGAACCGGCCCGTAATGGTACCGAACCGAATACCGGGTATTAAAACGGTTCTATAGATTTTTATCCCGAACCGAAACCGTACCATTTGAAACGGGTACGGGACCGATCCTCGATTTTGAGAACCGAAAAATACCGGACCGTTCAAGAAAAATGCATTTCAAGTATAGCCCAAGTATGTATTCATGTGTCCCTAAAATAGCAAAATGTGTACATATATATATATATATATATATATATATATATATATATATATATATATATATATAGTTATCTTTTCTTTTTAGATATTTTATACTCCGTATTATATTTTGGTATGTATTTAAAGAATGATAAAGTTTTAGAAATCACTAATGACTATTCCTTTTTAGTAATGTAGTGTATATGACTTTTTGTTGTATCACATTTGTGCAATTTTACAACTTAATTAATATGGTTTAAATCTTAGTTATCGCGGTTCAACTATTAATTTAATTAGAACTAATATTTAACCTAGAACAATGAATAACATTGAATTTTTCTATTATATTCAATAATGTGATGATATTCTTTTTATATTTTCACGTGAGCTTAGTAAATTAAAGATGATATTTATCTCGTGTATCATCATTTTGATATACTTTTTTTTATAGGTTTGTTGCATTATTTGTGTATTTTTGAATTTTAGTACTATGTATGCAATTTATTGTAACATTTCATGTGAATTGTTTGGTGTGATGATATATACTAATTGCAAAATTTGTCCAAAATTTTTAGCATGTGTTCGGCATTGTACAGAACGTGGTATACCGTTTTGTTAGCACGTGGTACCGAATGGTTCCATCCTTAGAACCGGGCCGTTAGAAACCTCACGGATACATTACGGGTTTTACTAGTTTACCGGACCGTTCTGGACCACGCCCACCCCTAGCATAAAGTAGTGCGAGTAGGAGCAAGGCTCTAGCGTGGTGAAATGATAATATATAAATGAACGGGGTTCAACTGTAGTATAATAACGTGATAGGGTAAAACCCTAGAGCGGCGTACTGATTTATTGCGTGTTCGTGATAATCACGACTCGTGGTCACGGGGGACAGGGATGGATGTTTCAAAATGAATATGGGCCCACGGGCCGACTACTTGACTTTATATATAAAGTAAGTATAATTAGAACAGTGTAACTAAGGGTTATGGCCTATAATATAGTATCACCCTAGAATTGAGGGTCTTAGAAATTCAAACTTTGATTATATACAGTGTAGTTGTCATTGTACTTTTCAAATGCTTCAAAGTACTGACCTCCCATTCACGGGGGAGGCCACCTCACAGTTTCAGGTAGAACTTGAAGGTTGCTACCACTGCCCATTGCTTCGGGAAGATAGAGGTAAAAAGACTTGGTTCGTGCTTCTTCCGTTCATGTTTTAAAAACATTATGAATAATGCTCATGGATATTATTTTTCTGAATAATTATTTGGGGGCTTGTACGCCTAAGTTGCCAAGTGTGGCTTGAACACTTGTATTACGGTTTCTGTTGCTTTAAATGAATATTTTACATTATGTTTGTTTATGGATGTACTATGTGTGAATGATATTCCAGACGCCTCGTATAGTATGGATGTGTTGGACTGCGGTTGACTATTGATGTTGTACGGCGGGTTGTTGACGTGTCCGGGGTAGGTCTGGGGCGTGACACTACAAGCTCTACAATATAAACTCAAAAAAGCTTACAATAAGTTGTGATGTGGAGTTTGGTGAAGAAGGCTCGTGTGATTAGAGAAGCAATGGCAAAAAATATTATAAGGTTAAGTGTTGAGATTAAGAAAGGCTCTTTACAAACTTAAACAAGCACGGGGAGCTTAGAACAGCAGAATTGACCAATTCTTCCAATCTAACGTATTCATGAAGTGACCACAAGAACATGCTCTATATGTAACGAAAAATCACCAAGGGCGCATATTGCTCATGTGCATATTTGTAGATGATTTAACCTTTACTAGTAATAACATGACAATGTTCGATGAGCTTAAGCAAGTCGTGACTAGGGAGTTTGAGATGACCAACATTGGTCTTATGAGATACTAAGCTACTTTGGCATCGAGGTAAAGCAAATGAATGATATTTGAGGAAAGCGCTCAAGAAGTTCACCATGAAGAACTCCAAACCTGTAAGTACACATATTGAAAGTGGACTAAAGTTATTGATGTATGATGATTGAAAATTCACCGGTCCAACTTGCTTTAGAAGTCTTGTGGGGAGCTTAAGATACTTACATGTACAAGATCAGATACTATCTTCCGTCTAGGACTTGTTAATCAATACATGGAGGCTCATACAATAACGAATGTAAAGGTCGTATAAAAGATTTCATGATATCTCAAAAACACCATTGAGTATGGGTTGTTTTACTCTCCACTTGATGAATTTAAGTTGGTTAGATTTTGTGATAGTAATTGGGTGTAGATAATGATGACCACAAGATCACAACTAGGTTCATGTTCTTCATGAGTGATAAGCACAATAATTACTTATGTTTTACATAAGTAATTACATTTATCTGTACAAAAATATGAAGCAAAAACAGATAAATATTCTCGAGTTAGCGGAAACATGAAATACGACATGGAGCAATGAAAATAGGGTCAAAAGTCAAAAGGGATCGAAAACCGGCACTTCGGGATCAATTTCGGGCATCAAACGAAGAAAAGAAGCGAAGTACAAAATTGGGCGCAGGGACCGGCGCCGGATTCCCTATAACCGGCGCCGGTCGTCAGGACTTTTTGCCCAATTCGGGCCTGTTTCCAACCGGCGCAGCACAACCGGTGCATTTTTGCACCCGACCGGCGCCGGACATGCTATAACCGGCGCCGGTTGTTCCGATTTTCTGCTAAAACAGTCCGACGTGCAGAAGATTTCTGATGGGAAAAACCCATCTTCCTCCATATCTGATCAAATATTGCTTCCATACCCGATTGTTAGGCTTGAATAGACTAAAAGATGCCATTCTTTAGCCTATATAAAGCCCTTAATTCATCAAGCAATGACATCCCATTCCATACTTTAATTCATAGTTTTCATACTTTGTTTTTGCTTTTGTTCTTCAAGTTCTTGAGGAGGAAACTTCAACCTCCGAAACCATTGGTGTTTAGGTATTATTTCCTTTGTAATTTCATGTTCCATTACATTTCAATATTGTATTGTGATTAATATGAGCATTAGAGGCTAATTTCTTAGCTAAGGCTAGGGATGAACCTCTATGCCCATTAAGTGTTTGATAAAAGTTCTAAACCAATAAATTGTGATTTATCCTTTATATTTTGATTGTTTATGACTATGGTGTACAACATAGAAGTATGTTAAATTTAATTTATGCTTGCAATTAACGTTGAAGTCTAAACTATGAACATTAAAGGATAAACATATATAGTACCGAGAATAGAAATATATCCGGTCTTATATGATACGGGTGTGATGTCTTGATATTCAACGGGGTTTTCGGTAGATGAATGTAAGCCGTAACGGGACTTACACGTAACGAAAACCACGCTCTTGCTGCCTTAACCGGAGTTGAGAATATATTAGCGACATCGTATTCATAATTATTGGGAAAGAACTATTATTAAATAACTATTAAAGCATTTAGGTGAATCCCGATTGCCTTAGTAATTCTCATTCTTGTTTAAACCAATCTCAAAGAGCAAAGTTCCTGAAAAAAAAATATCATTTACATTCTTTGCATTCAATACTCGACTTTATAATATCAACCATTTCCCTGTGGATCGACCCGGTATTTACCGGTATTTTATTACTACATCGGCACTTGTATACTTGCAAGTTCAGCCCGATCAATGAGAAACACCACTTTCACATGTGCTTCAATGATGCAATTGATTATTAAATTTCTCTCTCCACTTATGAAACTGGGTACATTGCAGCAGCATCAAGTGTTGCCTCGTTGTCCTTCGCGCGACTGAAACACGTCCATCAATTTCACTTTCGATGTAACGTCATTGCCTTGCCATCATTTGCGCGACTGGAACTCGTCATTGCCTCACTGTCTCCTTCTGTTTCCGTCCTCCTACCCACGCCAACAATGTCCATGGAACATGTCCATCAATTTTCAGATCTAGATTCGCGACGGCGGCTAGGGTGGGGCTTGGTGGGGTCGTGGTAGGCCTGGAGGGGTCGTGGTGGGGTTGGTGGTCGCTGATTGGGAAATGACGGGGGTGGGGCAGTGCTGAGAGCAGGGACTGGTCATC